AGCACCACATGACACGCCCAATCTTGATATTCCCTGAACATCAGGGTAGGCACATGCCTGCTGACACCCAGAGGTGACGAAGCCATATTAGAATACATGGTTACAAGAAATAAATAAGACTTATAAATTTAAATATCATGAATATGCAATTTAGGAATGTGTTTGGAGTATACACTAATCTAGAATACTAAAATATATATATATATATATATATATATATATATAATTGAATGAATAAGAGGATGGGTCCTACATTGAGAGGACTCGAAGATGCTGATGCGAAAGTGCATTGACGCTGAGACTATACGCCTCAATTCTAGGTCCTGAGGTGGATCAAAACAAACATGAGTGGACCAAGTTGATATATATATATATATATATATAATACTGAAACAGTTGTCAACATACTAATCTCCAAAGTTTTATGAAAACATCAATAGCATAATATGTAATAGGTTTTTTGAAAACCCTAGCATGCCATAAAATCTTCATGAAACATATCTCGTATATAGTGTGCTAGCTAGTGATATCAATATCAGTATCTCTCGGCCCGAAGCCATCAATATATACCTCATGCCTGCCATATATCTCCCTATCGAAAGGGTGACACCACTTTGCAACATGCGTTCTTTAGGATAGGGTGGTGCCACGTGGCAAAGGAGAGAGAAAGAGAATCTTAAAGGGAGGGTCTGGATTGGATTAGGATAGGGGGCCAATTTGCAAGATTACATAAACTTTTATGGGAAATGTAAAATTAAATTTGGGGAGGGGTTTTACGATCTACCCCCTTTATAAGAATTTTGTCCCCAAAATTACAAACTCAACTAAAAAGATACGGGTACTTCTCATCGAATCCTCCATTTCCTATAGCTTCCTCGACGACATGGTTTCTCCACATCACTTTTACCAATGGGATGACTTTATTCCTCAAGGTTTTCTTCTGCCAGTCAATGGTCGCCACTGGCTCCTCGACGTAACTCGCATCCTGATTCTAGTGGTTTCGGCTGAATAGCATGAGAGGGATCCGACACATACTTCCAAAACATGAAAATATGAAAAACATGAATTTGTGCCAACTTTGATGGTAGCTCCAATCTATAAACAACTGCACCAATCCTCTCAGTAATCTGGTAGGGGCCAACATATTGAGAACTCAACTTTCCTTGCTTACCAAAATGAACCACACCCTTCCAGGGAGACAACTTCAGGAAAACAAAGTCACCAACCTTATACTCACGGTCCCTGGAGTGTTGGTCCACAATGCTTTTTTGTCCGTCTTGTGCTGCCTTCATGCCACACTTGGGTCGGTTTCTGGGCTACTTTCAAACACTCATATCTTCTTCGTTACTCAACCAAATCGAGTGATTCAAAAACCAAAGTTGTAGTATTCCATGAGATTAAGAGAATGGTACCTTGTAATATGCTAAATCACCATGGTTTGGTAGGAAAACACCTCGAAAGGTCTGTTAACTTTGAATTGGCAAAACCAATCACATCACAAGAACTTATCGCCATTCTCATGTCTAATTTTTATAGTGTTGAACCAACATGTAACATCCCACATCACCCAGGGGAGTGATCCTTATATGTATATTCCCATCCCTACCTAGCACGAGGCCTTTTGGGAGCTCACTGGCTTCAGGTTCCATGGGAACTCCGAAGTTTAGCGAGTAGCGCATGAGAGCATTCCCAGGTCGGGGCCGAAAGCGGACAATATCGTGCTACGGTGGTGGAGCGAGCCCGGGAAGTGATCCGTCCTGGGTCGGGATGTGACAATTTGGTATCAGAGCCTAACCCTGGGCGTGGTGTGCCAACGAGGACGTTGGGGCCCTTAAGGGGGTGGATTGTAATATACCACATCACCCAGGGGAGTGATCCTTATATGTATATTCCCATCCCTACTTAGCACGAGGCCTTTTGGGAGCTCACTGGCTTCAGGTTCCATGGGAACTCCGAAGTTAAGCGAGTAGCGCATGAGAGTATTCCTAGGATGGGTGACCCATCGGTAAGTTCTCGTGTGAGTTCCCAGAAACAAAACCGTGAGGGCGTGGTCAGGGCCCAAAGCGGACAATATCGTGCTACGGTGGTGGAGCGGGTCCGGGAAGTGATCCGCCCCGGGTCGGGATGTGACAAACAACAATAACGTTAAATGGCAAAAAACATTAAATAAACGAACCCTTAACAAACTGCCCATTTCGTTCTTAATGAAATTCAAGAACAATATCTTCACAACAATATGCATGCATTTCAAAGTTTTAAACAGCAGTTTCACTAACATATATTCAAATCATTCTTTCCTACTTTCTCAATGTAATTGTTTCTTGAATCCATATTTTTCTCATTATTGCATGAAGAAAAAAAATTCTATCTTTAGATTGTTGAAGCAATATTAGAAAATATGAAAAATAACAATATAATTTCAATGCTAATAATCATAAAGAAATTCACAACATCAATTATATATAAGATTAATATAAACAACTAGAGAGAAAGTTAGAATAACTGACAAACTTGGAGATTAAGGCTTGTATAAATGCAATGTCCTAAAGATAGAATTTCGCCCCTACTCTTGTGCTTGTAGTTCGGTAGGCGTCCATCTCCCAGGATTCAACAATCTATAATCCGAAGTCAAAGAACTTCAATCTTCGGACTCTGGCGAACTTTATATATTCCATACTCTCAAGACACGACTCGGAATTTGACTCACGAAGCATGAGAGAAACAAAGTGGGGAAACCCTATTTCTCAAGAGTAAAAATTAACTCTAATTTTCTATCTCTAATACCAATGGTTTCATGGGTTTAAATAGAATTCAATTTCTACTTATTAAGGAGATGTAACTTTTCATCCATAAGTATACATCACTTATCAAGGAATGCACCTAAACAACATAACCTTTCCAAGAAATTGGTTAACAATATTTGTCATTCAATTATTAAAATTATATATTACAATATATAATTTCCAACACCATTAGCATCAAATAAACCTTTTATACCATTGTTCGGAGACGATTAGACATTTTTTGATGAAAATGCCGAGTGTTCCTGTCCCCATCCCAAATCCAGGTTACTTTGGAACGTTGTTTCCCGTGAGACTCCTCTTGAGAGAGTAAAGATTCAAGTTTACTAAGGAGAGTTCTGCCAAGGGCCCAAGATCCCATTCCTTCGAATCCGAGGGGTGTTAAAAAAGAACTTTCAACTAGTCTCTGGTAATCTTTATCTCCTCCTTCACTGATGCCAAGGATTGCTTCCACTTCAACAACTTGATGCGTGCTACCACTTGAGCGCAGTCCTCTCGTTGAAGCCACGCCTCTTCAAAGCGAAATTGCTTGTGTTTTCGTTGATTTTGATTAGGGCCTTGCTTGACTTGAAGAAGAATAGGAATGTGGTCAAAAGTGAGCGGTGCAAGATAGATGACTTGCGAATATCGGAAGAGATTACGACATCCCGCATTAGCAAGACACCGATCCAACTGACATTCCGTATTCACCGCAGTAAACTACGACTTATGGTGCATCAAGATAAGACGATTTTCAAGTCACATAATTTGTGGAAGTTTGCTGAAGAAGGCTATAAGCTTCCCTCATAAACAGGCGATGAACTAACTGAGAAGAAGCAGATTGCAACTCAAGATCTTATTGCACAAGATGCTAGAGCTCTGGGATTGATTCAAGGCGCAGTGTTTGATGAAATCTTCCCAATGATTGCAAATCCAGAGACGGCTAAAACTGCTTGGGACACCTTGAAGCAGGAATACTGAGGTGATTCTCAAGTTCCAGATGTGAAACTACGAGGTACTAGAAGAGATTTATAATATGCTTGAATGCGAAATGATAAAATACTATCTGCTTATTTGACTAGATTGTTTGATTTGATTTACCATATGAAGATGTATGGTGATGAGTTGTCAAATAAGAGAATAGTTGAAAAAATGTCAATCTGTCTTATTCCTAGCTATGATAATATCTACAATGCATGGACACGGGAGAAATCCATCGTATCCCGTATCTGACACGCTGAGGATACGGATACGCGAAGGATACGCATGGATACGCGCCCGATACGTATCGGAATGAAGAGATACGTTTAGGGCTGATAAGATACGCATATCGTATCGTCCAGATACCCATATCCTACATTTCAGATACGTTTGAAACTAAAATAGGAGGATAATCAGAAAAAAAAAAAAAAAAAAATCACAATAAATCCGCATAGAATCGTGATTGATCGAAGCTAGCTAACTGAAATCACTCTAAAATCGGAGGATAATAAGAAAAAATAAAATAAAACTCGGATTTACCTCTCGAACCTCATAACATAAATCACTCTTGTTGGGAGACTTTCACGAATCAGACCGTCATCTGCAACCGTTCCATCATCTTCATCTGCAACTGCGCCGTCGTCTCCATCTTCTCCGTCTACAACTGCGCCGTCGTCTCCTTCTTCTCTATCTGTAACTCCAGGTGAGTACTGAAAGTCTGAAAGTTTGAAAGAAAGAAACTAAAAGCTTTAAGCCTTTAACTGATTATAAAATGTAAAGCCATTTGCTTTTCCAAACAATAATATATTATAATACTACTACCCACAATAATATATTATAATACCCATACTACTACCCACAATAATATATTATAATACCCATACCACTACCCTTCGAATCTGATGAAGCTTTTTGCTTTTCTGTTTGTAATTTTTTGTATTATTATAATATTCTTCTGATGAAGCTTGTTGTTTTTCTGTTTTTAACTTTTTGTATTATTATAATATTCTTCTGATGAAGCTTGTTGCTTTTCTGTTTACTTTTCTGTTTTTAACTTTTTGTATTATTATAATATTCTTGTATTTTGCATATTATAATATATTATTGTGTAGTGGTATGAATATTTAGATTATAATAATTTTATGTATATGCTTTCATGATGTGTTTTTTTATGTACATGCTTTCATAATGGATTAACTCTTACTGTTTATAACTTTATATGTTTGTTGACTTAGGAAAATGAATCATCCTGATAATCATGCGAATGATAATACTAATCTGGATGATAATGCTAATCCGGATGAGATTGTAGAAAATTATCACACTCCGTTGTGGAAGTATGTCAAAAACCTCGAAAAAGTGGGAAATAAAGGAGGAGGAAATACTGAATTTAAATGCAATTATTGTCAGAAAACTTATAAAGGATCCTACCCTAGGGTCAAGTATCATTTGTTAAAAATGGCTGGAAACGGGATCGCGCCTTGCAGCAAGGTTACTAATGAAAATCTTGCAGAAATGAAAAAGTTAATTCAAGAGTGTGAATATAAGCTGAAGAGTTCTGCTCTTAAGAATGTGTCTTTGCCCAATACTGGTTCTTTCTGTTATGATCTACCTGAAGTGAATCTTGATCCAAAGAAGAGAAAAGGAACAAGTGGGCCTCTCAGTAAAGCTTTTAACAAGGAAGCTCAAGATCAATGTGATGCCGAGGTTGCAAGGATGTTTTAAACAGGTGGCTTATCATTTAACCTTGCAAGAAATCCGCACTATCGAAACTCATATGTTCGTGCTTCTACACTTCCAGGGTATGTTCCACCAGGTTACAATGCACTAAGAACCACTCTTCTGCAACAAGAGAAGAGTCACATTGAACAATGCCTCCAACCAATCAAACGCACATGGAGCACTAAAGGTGTAAGTTTGTGTAGTGATGGGTTGACAGATGCACAAAGGAGACCACTAATTAATATTATGGCAACTTGTGAAAGCGGGCCTATGTTCTTGAGGGCAATTAATTGTGAAGGTGAATATAAAGACAAGCATTGTATTGCCAACTTTCTCACAGAAGCTATCAAAGAAATTGGTCATGAAAATGTTGTTCAAGTGATCACTGACAATGCTCCTGTCTGTAGAGCTGCTGGGTTACTTATTGAGGCTCACTATCCCCATATCTTTTGGACACCCTCTGTTGTTCACACTCTTAATCTTGCTTTGAAGAGTATATGCTCTCCGAAACAAACAAATGTTTCGTACGATGACTGCAATTGGATTTCAACTATTGCTAGTGATGTTTGGTCCATAAAATTTTTTATTATGAACCATAGCATGAGATTGTCCATGTTTAATGAACATTGCAAACTAAAGTTGCTCTCCATTGCCGAAACAAGGTTTGTTTTCTCCACTTTTTTTTTTTTCTTTTCTTATTCAATTATGAGCTATCCTAATTTTAAAATTTTTCAGATTTGCTTCCACACTTGTGATGCTTAGAAGATTTAAGGAAGTAAAGGAAGGTTTACAACAAATGGTGATTAGCCCGAATTGGGCTTTGTACAAAGAAGATGATTTGGTTAAAGCAATGTCGGTGAAGCAAAAAATATTGGATGAGTACTTTTGGGAGAAGATTGATTATATTCTTTTCTTTACAGCTCCAATATATGAGGTTATTAGAATGGCTGATACAGATAAACCTTGTCTTCACTTGGTGTATGAGTGGTGGGATACTATGATTGAAAAGGTGAAAGCTGCTATCTACAGGAATGAGCGCAAGGCATTACATGAAAAAAGCAGCTTTTTTGATGCGGTGTATCGCATTTTATTGGAGCGATGGACTAAAAGTAGCACACCACTTCATTGTTTGGCGCATAAATCCAACGTAATGATTTTGCTAATATCCTTATAAACTCTTATAAATTAATCTTTAGCTTTATGATTATATTTTTAAAGTGCTATTTCTTTTATTTTAGGTATTATAGTTCAGAATGGCTCCAAGAAGACCCTAGTCGGGTTGCTCCACACCGAGATGTTAAGCTTACAACTGAAAGGAAAAAGTGCTTTGAGAGATACTTTTCCAATGAGGAAATTAGAAGAAGTATCAATGTGGAGTATGCCTCTTTCTCTATGTGCTTGAATGACTTTGGAGCTATTGATTCTATGAATGATAGGTTTCATTTGGAACCAGTGATGTGGTGGATTGTCCATGGAGCTTCTACACCTAGTCTCCAATCCATAGCGTTGAAGCTACTTGGACAACCTTGTTCCTCCTCTTGTTGTGAAAGAAATTGGAGCACTTATAGTTTTATTCACTCTCTAAGAAGGAACAAGATTACACCACAAAGAGCGGAGGATTTGGTATTTGTGCATAATAATCTTCGTCTTTTATCAAGGAATAGCTCAACCTACAAAGAAGGTATTACTCAATTGTGGGATGTTGGAGGAGATGGCTTTGAAAACTTGGGTGAAGAAAGTGTCGGGATGCTTGATATTGCTAACCTTTCACTTGATGAACCGTCATAGGAGACTACTTTGATTACTGGAGGAGACATCATGAACATGGAAGTTGAATGAGACTTTTTTTTTTATTTTTTATTTTAATTTCGTTTGGATGATCTTTTTACTTTTTTCAAGTTTTAAGGCTAATTGCTTATTGGATGAACTATCTTTCTAAATGTTTAGAGTTTATTGAAATAAATTTGAATGCTTATTTTATAATGTTTTAGATATGTGTGTGTATATATATATATATATTTTTTTTTTTTTTTTAATTGCCGTATCCTTGACGTATCGTGTCCTCATTTTTAGAAATTTCACGTATCCCCGTATTCGTGTCCGTGTCCGTGTCCATGCATCATAGGATAATATAGTTTCTGTGACAGAGGGAAGTAAGAAGCTAGATGAGATTAATATACTGGGATTGTAGCTACTCTAAAAGGATTTGAGTAGAGATTGCTTAGACATGCTGAAGAGAGTGAAGTCACTGAAAGGGCCTTTAGCAGTCTACATATAACTCCTAAGGATGGTTCACAAGGTAACAGTGCTAAGGGAAATAAATTGTGGAAGAATAAGGAGAAGAAATAAGGGTTTAAGACTGTTGACAGACCAAGTGCATTTGTTAAGCACAGTGGAAATAAGGAAAATGGTAAGGAGGTGCGCAAATACAGTGATAAGTTACACTATGGCACTTGTTTGTTCAAGGGCAAGCTTAAATGTCACAGATGTGACAAATTTGGTCATATAGCCGGGCCTGCCATAGCAAGGTGAATAAGCTTGTTCACCATGCTAAGTATGTAGAAGATGAAGCCTTTATGTTCTATGCTTGCCATTCTGCAGAGGTTGTGAAACAAGCGTAGTGTTTGGTACATTGACAATGGATGTAGCAATCATATGATATCACATGAATCCTTGCTGATCAATGTTGACAAATTTTGTGACATTCAAGGTGAAAATGGGAAACGATGAACTAGTGCAAGCTACTGGAAAAGGTACGTTAGTGAAGATTGTGACATTTAAGGATTGTAGCAGAAAGTGGATTGCAAAAAGTGGACAGCCATTGCAGTGAAGGAAGGTCGATGGAAGGCTGGATTGAAGTGAAGAATTCCAAGTTCCATTCTTAATTCTTTGTTAAGTTCAAATGTAAATGAACGGTTGAGATTAGACTAACTCATAGGCTAGGATTGCACCAGTTGTCATAACAATTGATGCATTTTAAGTTGTACTTGTGCATTGCACGTGAGTTTGCTAAGCATATTGAGCGTGTGAGATTGTAACAGTTACTTTTTTTTTTTTTAAGTTTTAACGAAAAACTCCCGGTATTATTCACTTTTAACGAAAAATCATATTTTTATCTTTCCCTGATACTATTCACTACACATTTATTTGTCATTTTTTCATTAAAACTAAAGTTTTTTTTTGGATTTTTTGTTAGTTTTCCTTTTTTTCCCCTATCTCCTCTTACTCATGCTTTGTGTGAGAGAGGTGTGTAATCAAATAAAAAGAAAGGTTTTAGGTTTGATACTTATCAAAGGCGAATTTGAACCACATTATTGCTAACCTATTGTGAGGTTAGGTCCACCCCCTCCCCCTTAGTGTAGATAATACAATTCTAGAATCTAACTTCCAAACTTTCAAGAAGGAAATGCATTAAAATCGTGTGCAGAATAGAACTTCGACGAACTATGGGATGCTCTCGAGTCTAGCCTGGGAAACCAGCTCTAACAACATTACCAATTTTGGAATGTGATCTTCCTACCAATGTCTATCTCGTAGTGCATTTACTGATAAATAGATGCCAGGAAACTTAGGAAGTCCACGCATTACAAATACAGAATACAATAGAACAGAAACATATTAGTTTAGAAGCAAAAGGTACATTGATGATGTTCCATGTGCAACATGATAATAAGGATCCTTGACAAAATTCCTGGTCTTCGAATTGTATAGAAAACAATAACCGGCCGAAAGGTGCAACGTTAGGACTCATGCATATAAAATACAACCAAATATTATAATCTAGATATGCTATAACGGCTAACCTTATACTCAGGTGATTTCGAGATATGCTCCATTAGAAGATGGTGCATTGCTTGAAAATGTAATCCATGTGGTGCAACAAGACGTGACTGCTTAAACTGCATTTGCATGTTGATGATGTGATCATGACTTCCCTTGTCACATTTTATGCTTCCGTATCAGAACCATTTCAATCATCAATAACAACAACAACAACTATAACAACAAAACCTTATCCTACTAAGTGGAGTCGGCTATATGAATCCTAGAACTCCGTTAAACTCGGTTTTGTGCCAAGCTAGCCTTCTGTTACATTCAAGTACTCAAAGTCTTTTCTTAGGGTCCCTTTCCAAGTCTTCCTCTACCCCTTAGACCATGAGCCTCTGTCTGTAATTGGATCTTCTAACCAGAATATCTGTAGGTATTCGTTTCACATTTTCAAATCACTTTAACCGATTTTCTCTCATATTATCTTCAATTTCAGCTACTCCTACTTTACCTCGGATATCCTCTCTCAAGCCTATCCTTTTTTGTGTGCCTAATGTGTATTTAAACTAACTCAAATAATAGATTAATTTAAACCAAATTAAACTCGCAAGCACGAATCAATTGTAGTAATATATGCAAATACGAGGTCCATTCCACAGGGATTGCTTTAACACCAATTTAACCGATTAATCATGCTAGACTTCATTAAACAAACAAAGAATAGATAGAATTGAATAATTGAGTAATTGATTAAGACTAAAATTAACAAGAAAAAGAAAAGACAATTAACTAAAACAAACACACGACACAAGAAAGCCTAAGGTTATGAATCCACCAATAACAATCCTATTTACTTTTCCTAAAGCCAATTACTATCCAATTACCATGCCAATGTTAAAGGTTGTTCTTTCTAAGGTATGAATTAATCCGTGGTCAGGCATCAACTCTTGTATCTCTACATGATAATTATATCCTATTGGTTAGACATACAATTAAAACCCATTAAGTGTAGAAGAATCATGTCAACCAAGTAGGACTAGCTTGATATTGGTCATCCTCACTAGTTTGTCTACTCTTCTTAATCTTAGGTCATCCTCATAGATTTATCTAATGCAAAATTCCTAAAGGTGATCAGTCATTAGAAATTCGAACCTAGAATAAAATACCCACAAAGATTAAGAATCTAACATGGCATATAATCGGATAATAATCAACAAAGTACTTCGCAAATATTCATGCCATGGCTTCATCATAAACCTTAGAAAATAATTTAGTTACACATAGAAATAAAAAAAAAAAAAAAAAAGATAGAACCCGGAATCCATGGCAAAGCACGTCCCTAAGCTCTTCTTCACTTATTGCGGAGATGGTGAATGATAGTATGGTGTGGGTGATATGAGGGATGCGGGGGTGGATGGATGGATATCTTAGAGAGAGCTTAGGGCACTTATTTATATACTAGAAAAACCCTAAAAGGTCTGGGAGAAAGTCTCCTAAAATAAAACAAACTCCTAAACAATTAATGACACAAACTAGGAAAGAATCCTTGTTGACTTAGGAAACACGTCATCTGCCTTGCACGCCAGTTTTGGGGTCAATTTATCTTCTTGAAAATTCTGTAAAAATATGAGAAATGTAGCTTTATCTCTTATCTTTCCAAGCATATATCCACACGTCACTAGGAAAAATCAAGAAAGCTCCAAATCTTCATTCTCCCACAGCTGTGAAATTCTGACAGGAAAACAACTTTTGCGAAATTGATTTGTAAAACTGGAATGAATGGCTCCATGGAAAATTATGAAATTTGGATACAACTATCTTCGGCCTCTTAGCTTCCTTATCCAATTGAACTTGCATAAAAAATCCTTTGGAAAGTCGAATTATCACCAAAAACGTCCTGCATGCGCAGATTGGCTGAAACTGAGAAAAGGAAAGTAATAAGGCTCTTTTATAATCAATTCCTTAACAAAACCTAGGGATTATTAACATGAAATATGGTAAATAATGCACCTATCAAATACCCCCAAACTTCGCTTTTGCTAGTCGTCGAGGAAAACAAAAATAAAAAACAACAATGAAACAATAGACCTTCCATAAATTAGCCTCAAAGCAATCAAGAGATGGTCACCAAACTTAAGAGAATTAAACATTTTTCAAAGTAGAATTAACCAAACCTTACACAACATTCTCAAGTGTAATGAGTGAAATAACCAATATCAATACAACTTACTCAACCCAGATAGGTATATGCAAACTAGAGCTTCCACTTCAAATTATCCACCATGAATATCACTTAGAAAGAAATCACACATTAAAGGGCAAAGTGTTTCACTCAAATCATGATATGCAATACAAAACCCCATAATCTTGCTCATCATATCAACTCTCCACTAATGTAAATCAATGCAACACCAAAGATCAAAGGTCTTTACAAGGGTTGTAACGATAGGCTAGGGTATGAGCGATCAAAGAAAGGATATGGAAAAACTAAAGCTTAAGAAATACCAAGATATCTTCATAATGTAACTTGGTCGGCCCTCTTTTGAAACTTGGGTCTTCTATTATTGGCATCCAGGACTCATGTCGAAGGATGGAACAATTTCGAACTCTTCTTTTCTAATTCTTTTGATTTTTTTTTTCTCTCTTTTTCTTCGATTCTTTTTTTTTTTTTCCAAAGAAGAATAAAATAATAATACTACACATGGTACCTCGGTACACGCCACTTATTTATTGTAGAACCTAACCTTTATCTTCATTGACATTCACTTAATATCTCCTAAGCTATAGGGTATGGCTAATATAGGTTAAATAGGTAAGGATGAATATGGGTAATGAAAGAAAAGGCTAAGTGGGGTAACTAGGGATAATATAACATAAAAGGTTGGTTAGAAAAGCTCAAACGATCCAAACATGGCCTTAATCATCTCTCTAATGTTGCATGACATAGGATTCGCCTTGAGAGATATTGGGGCAAGTTCTAGTGAATGATAATGCTATCATGAAACTCACAAGAAAGAATA